GTTAGATTGGAGCATCAAGGTTACAATTGAACAAAAATTAACATATAGAGGGCAGTACAAATTGAATAAAGCTATTTTGTGAGAAGAGATATTGTATTGGAAAGTATTTGAATATAACATGAAAAACATTTTGCACTAGGAGCTGTCAACATTCTGACTCCATATATTCATGGAGAAATTTGTAGTAAAAATACTTCATTAAAAATTCTAATTCTTTCTCTACATATGACTCTCAATGCTTATTGAAAGCATGCTAAATTTTTTTCAAATACTCAAAATATATTAGAAGTTATTGTATGAAAACTCTAAAGGTCAATTTTTAGGTCAAATCAACTACGCCCAGAGTGAGAATTAATAAATATGTGTATGTGGACTTACATGCATGTATGAACATTACATGAAGTCATTCACATCATTTTCAAGCTGCATGATGGAAGGAGGCTTTGATGACAACCACTATGCTCAAGATTTTTCCATTTAGCAAGGAGCTGAACTTCTCCACCAAAGATTCCTGTAAGATGGCCTGGCTAACCACCTAGTAAAGTCCAAGGATGAAGATGTGTTGCTTGAACCAACACCAGACATGCAAGATCTCACAGAGTTGTTATTGGGTAGACGTTGAAGTAGCCCCAGTTGGAAGTAGGTATACCAATAAAATCCCAGCCCTTGTTTGACAGAGTACTACCGGCATCTGTGCAGAAACCACCATAGACCTCTACCTCTATGCTAGTTGAGCTGAGCCTGCAAGCATCTCCACAAACTGCAGCAACACCTGTGAAGAAAGAATACAAGACATCTCAGCAATGGGTGCCTCTTATAAGGTGTCCTGTCAGAAGGTGCTTGATTACAACAAAATAAATACATCAGATGTATGGCCACCTTTAGCAGGGCCTTCAGTATAAATGAAGGGACCACCCATTCAAAGGTCAGCCAAGCACCAACACAGCCCCTCAAGCCACTGCCTAGTTGAAACAAATGTCTTCCACCTCAACAGTACTTATGCCACCACCAAAGAGGTCCTATGAGGTGACCAACTGGCAGTTTAGAAAAGTATTCTCAACCACCCAGCACTATAGCAAAGACCTATGTTGAAATGACATAGTCAAGATCTGGCTGCACAGTAGACCAAAGCTTCGATCTTGTAAAGGAAAGAGGATCAGCTAAGGAGAAGACCATCAATGTGACATGAGGAGGAGGAAGTTTGCCAGTTGCATGTTGAGCTAGTCAACATGAAGATGGCCCTGGTCAAAGCCCGAGAAGCCATAAAGGTTATTACTGCAGCCAACTGTTGGATAATTGATGTGTTTGAATGTGCTAATATGGTTAAAGTGAGAGCAACAGAGGTTGGACCTCATAGTTGCTTTGGGTAAATTCCATATATATATATATATATATATATATATTACTAGAAATAGTTTAAATATTATAGTTGCCTCTGCATTTCTTTTCTTTCTTTATTTGTTTGTATTCTATTTATCATTCTGATTGCTTGCCATTTATGTTTAAAGCCATTATATTTTGTGTATGGTTGTTGGATTCCGTATTATGATTTTTGTTTGAATGGGTATTTCTTGTGGTTTTCTTTTGGATTTTTGTAGAAGAGTATGTTTAAAGGTTGAAATTGAATCTGTAATTGGCCAGTGTTAAAGGGTATTCTTTTGTGTAATTAACAATCATTCTTACAGTTTTCCTATTGTTGAATTGTATTCAATATTAAAGGTTGAGATATTTTAATGTATTGGTAATGTAGAGCTTTATCAATGAAAATGAAATTTAAATTTTTTGTTAAAGGGTATTCATCATGTAGTATCTTGCACTTCCATCCATGTAAAAAAAAAAAAAAGAAGTTAATCTTTATGAATAGTATTTCTTTATTAAAGGATTGTGTTGTCTATGTTATATGTAAGTGTTTACAGGGACATGAGAACATTATCATACTCTTTGTTTAGATTTTATTGGTTTTAAAATTAAGATTAATCTCTTTGATAGTTACCCCGAGACAGCCTCGGGTGAGCAAGCTGAATAAAAATCATCCACCCCAAAACAGTCTCAGAGTACACTTTACTTTCTGCTTCTGCTGCGTTTAGCCCGAGTTTTTCCACTAGCTGTGTGCTACTGTCACCTACTACTATTTAACATCACTACACATCATGGGTAGAGCCACTACACACTCTTAAGAGCTCTGCTGTCCTTCTTCCAACACTAGATTGTGTGCAGTGACCTGCTTCAAGGGCCACTACACCAAATCCAAATTCTAATCACCAAAGCCAGATTACTGGGAAATAAATATCAATATTTTTATTTAGCACAAACTTATACTAAATTATTTTCCTGCTTCTAGGATTATCATACAAAAGTGTTGCTGATTATTGTAGTTTGTGTAAGTCCATTTAATTTTTACATATAAGTAGTACAGTGCAGGCACAAATACAGGATTTTTAGAAATGAAGGAGGAGTTCTGGTTGGAAAGGGGGTGTAGGTGGGTTTTTCTAGATCCATTTTGTCATTTTCTTTAAGATTTTCCAATTTATAGAAAAGTACCCCCCCCCCCAAAAAAAAAGGAAGAGGTCTGGATCCTCTGTATCTGCTACCTGTTTTGTTAATGTATACGATAGAAATATCTAATTCTATAATAAAGAAACATAAAATTTAACACCTATGGTACAAAAAAGTTCACAAATATAAGAATATCAAGGAGGTTAATGTCAGCTTGGGGACAGGTTAAAAGTAGGGGATGGGGGAGAAGCATGTTATATTAACATACCATACATTTTCTACCTCCTTATTTTAATAAAGTATTTTTTTCAATTATTTAGCTACTATGTGTAAGTGCAGTTTTCAAAAGATCATTAAATGATATCATTTTAACTGATTTTGTTCCTATGTAAACAGGAACGTGTCTATGGAGGGGCCCCAAATCTTAGTAATCAATCTTGTTTATCATTATATTTTAATGTTAGTATAATACAAGCAGTCATGAAATATCATTTGATTCCTCTCATTGATTCACAATCCTGGGAAATATATGATATTATTGTTTAAATTTATGAATTCCAATAAGTGTTGCAGTTGAGAGATCCAAACCATGCATACTGGTCACTCTGTAATCAATTAGTGAAGTGAAGGATAAGTGCCTGGCCAGACAGACAAGATTAAACATGACAATTTGTTTAATGTTGAGCAAGTTGAGATAGTTCAAAGGGCCCAAGTTTCATGAAAATTTAAAAACAATTACATAACTCCATGAGCAAACCTTACTGAGAAACATTATAATTTTTTAATTAAACATTTTCATTTATTTTTTCTTATTTAACCAAATAAGTTTCTAAGTTTAAAAAAAACATACATCAAAAATAGAAATGTAATACTTAAATATGTCCCCTTGTAGTTTTGCTGTACTATAGCTATACTATAAATAAGTATTTTACATTAAATTCAGAACATCACATGGGAGGTAATTAGAAAGCAGAAAATATGCAATTTGTAACAAAGAAAGTGTAACATAATATAGACATATTTGAGATGAAGGAATTAACCTTGTATAAAATTAAGACTTGATATTTGCAACAAAAATCTATTTAAGATGCTATGTTACATTATATTAAATAAATATATTTAAAGAAATCCAAACTGGTAATGCTTTTCTTGAATTTTCTTCCTAATACTTGTAGTAAGTAACCCTGGTCTATTACTTGCAGCCACCCCATTTCTTTTGTGGAACATATTTATTTAGAATATTTAACAACTTATGGTTACTTATGGCACAGATAGCATAGTTGCTTTGCACCATTAAATGCCAACCAACCAACTTATTTTTATAAACCTCACTCATCTGACAACCATCTTCTTTTAACATTAAAATCCCAATTGATCAAAATCAATTCTTGTCCGATCCCTTCAAAATTAGCCTTTAGAAAATTTGTAATCAAAATACTATTATATTATTATCCTTGATCTCCACATGTAATACCACCTCAAGTCTAATTATACAATGATCACTTGTATCCAGATCCTTCTCCCAGATGTTGAGGTGAAATGAAATTTTAGATTCTAATTTTCAAAAGGCCAATTAGTTCAGTGAGTTAAAAAGTGATGTGTGACAGAATTGGGAAACTTAGAAAATATTTTAATTCAAGACACTGTAGGTATGAACCTAAAAAAAGAGGAAAAGGATAACAAGCAATATCAAACCTAATTGACTTAATACAGACATGAAATATAAAATCAGGGATAAATATGTTTACAAATTTTAAATACATAGATAGGGTGGAAGATTTAAGCAACTGTGGGGAGCTAAGGATTTGGTTAAGTAAAACAACTGGGAAATCCAAAAGAGCATATGAGAAATAGCTGGATAATAATGTTAAAACTTACAGCAAAGTTGTTTTTAAGTGTGTTAAAGGTAAACAAAATGTTAGAATGGGGATTTACTCATGAACCCTATGTGTATAAGTGGGGGTTAAATTATGCATATCATGACCTTTTATAAAGTACCATTCCCCATGGTATTATGTATTTGATGTTATAGTTATCAATTACTCATTTTACCCTACACTAATCATATAGCAGCTTTTTGAGATAGAGGAAAGTAAATACCATATACAATATATAGGGATACTGAAAAAATGTAGATATGCATATCAGAGGTTCTAGAGGTTATGAAAATGCAATATGAAAACTGACTGACTCTCAGTCAGACTCATGTCAGTTTACAGACATATCTTGAGTATAAATACTTTGTTAATAAATTTTTAGGTTTGTGTGTGTGTGTGTGTGTGTGTGTGTGTACAACAGACTTGCACATTTTACTTAAAGCTTGCCCCATTTCTTGTAAATATATGTGGTAAATTTGGAATTATAATTAATATTCTCTTTCCAATACAGGGTTCATCCATTGGACTGATCCCATGCACATTTGGTTAAAGAAAGCTGATGGTAGAGTTTTTGTTGAATGTCATGAGATGACTAAGGCTTTAAATGTATTCTTCTGTTTTTGCAAGAGAAAATATAAGCAATATTTCTGACCCTGAGCATTCTAAGACACATATTGCAGTTGAGCTGAATCTATCTCATATAGATAAATCTCCATTGCCATATAGGGTTTTTCTCAGTTTGAATGGAGGCTTAAAATCAGGTATGTGAGCTTCTCTTTTTCATTATGTCAGTAGAAAGTAGGTAATTGTCTGATGAGTGGTGAGCTGCTTTATGTTACTCCAATTAAGAAAGGGGTATTAAGGGTTTTCCTGGAAAGTATTGGGCTAGTTTGTCTTACTTCTGTAGTAGGAAAAATTCACGGCAGTTTGATAAAATAAGCTTTACAAAATCATTTACTAAATTATGATATCATAAGTGAAATCCAACAAAGATTCACTAAAGGAAAACTATGTCTGACTAATCTCTTATCTTTGTTTGAGGTTATTTCTTATCCAGATGAATGAAAGGATGTAGTTCTGGTATACTTAAACTTTCATGATTAAATATGCAAATCTCTCTTAGTATGTCATTGCCAGTAGAATGGGTAATTGTCTGAGGATTGGAGAGTTGCTTTATGTTATTCCAATTTCTCTCTTTTTGAATAAATTGCTTGGTTAAGTTGATATATATGCATAAATTATTTTTGTTCTGTTGTCTTTAGTGTAAGGTTGGGAGGAATTTAGCACATAGTACTCGTTGTAATATTATTATTAGCAAAGTTAAGTTTGATACTATGATATTGATAGTATTTGGCAGCACTGATTTAATGGTTTATTAGGGCAGTTACAGTTATAGCAACAGTATTTTATTTAACAAACTTTTTAGTAAAACTAAAGAGGAGTGTACAGTAATATATATATATATATTACACCATATCCAGTGACGATGTCGACAAGGCCTTTACCACATAATACTATTAATATTACTATGTATTAGTAATTAGAAAGTATTAATACCACTACAACTCTACACGTGAATGGGATGCAAACAAATAGAATTAGAATATTAGTACTAGTAGTGGTTAAAATGCTATTTGAGTATTTATATAAGTTATATAAATTAGACTAGTACTAAATCAACCAGTATTACAATTAACACAGTAGATCATTCTAATATAATTAATACGCGAAGCGCATTAATAATTTAATGTCACAATTACCTTTTTAGTTTTAGCGTTGAACTTTACCTCGTTCCAGACTAAGGGTATAACTTTTTAAAGTAAAATCAAATTCCTTGCCCTGTCATAGGTTGGACTTCACGAAAATAAGACCATGCAGTCAAAATAGGATTTAAATTTTCTCCAATTGAATAAACATCGTTCTACCGTTTGTATTACAAATTCACAATACGTGTAATTTCTTAAATTCTGGAGTCAAAGGCTGTAAAAAGACACCCGGAAAAGGTGAAAGAATATATAATTTTTATTTATGCATATTTTACTGTTACAAATATATCAGTCAAGCAAAAGTACCCGTCTCCTGTGACAGGAAAAGTATAAGTTAATCTATCAGTTTAAATTATTTCATGGACTTTAAAAAGGTTAATTGTGTGGCACTATTGATTTCACTCAGAGCCAAAGCTCTGAGCTACTTATACTTATAGTATTTGCTGCCCATCGTGAAAAGTAATTGTTGAGCATTTCAGTCATGCTAAGAGCCGCTCAACAATAACATACGGTAAATCTATATTTTTATTCTTTTTAAGTTACGCCACATTTTGAAATGTATATGATAGTGAGATTAATTTCTAACAATGTAGTGTAGAATATCCTGCTTGTGATATTTAATTTAGCATCAACATTATTCATGCTTGTTCTCCCGTCATTTCAAAAGTGAACATTGAACTTTACCCCAATACGCAGCTTTTTAAATGAGAGACATATCACGGTGCCCAATATATATATATATATATATCATATAAAATAAATGTCACTTGCTTTGCGGTGGTTTTAAACATTTCAAATGTCATAATTAAACCTTGCAATACCAAACATTTATATACATATTTTACAATACTATTTCACTTTCTGTTAATGTAGTAAATGTAGAGAAAATTTTCATATGAAAAAACTAATAATAATAATAATAATTTTACTTAAATTTTCGTCAGGAATAAGCCGAAGTACATATTGAAAATTCAAGTAAAACATTTATGGAATACTGTAAAACGTTAAGACACTTTTCTTCTTTTTCAGCAATCTTGGTAAAATTATGAAAATAAGATTTCAAAATGGCCGCACATTTGCTAAGCAAACTTATGAAGGGAAGCACATTTCGCTAACATTGTAAGAACTTATGAAATAAAGATTTGTAAGCACAATGATATACATGTCTTAACAGTATTGTAGGAGATTACAATAATAAAGCTGACAAAGCGATATACATAACTAAGAGTAAATTATCTTCTTTTTAAAACATTTTATTTGAGTTTGTTTAGTTAAATAATATTCGAAATTTCTTTTCTATTCTTCCTTTTCCAATTGCTCACGTAATAAATCAAACACAGTGACATCCCGCTCACCTCTTTCCATTTTTGGAAACGCTCCTTTGTATACACTTACTTCTATATATGGCATGAATAACCAATCGGAAGCTCAGAATGTCCCCTAGTGATTTTCTTAGCCTTTCTAACATACCTAACGCCATTTCTTTCTTTTGAACAAAGATTTCAATAAGGTAGGTTGTGTCTTTAGTTTGCTCGAAATTTCATATTTATTTAGACCCAAATATAGATTAGTTACTAAGTTTGATAAATTATAGTAAAATTCTATGGTATTGATGTAGTAATTTATGATTTTTTTAGTTATTCAAAAGCATATATAAAATCAAAAAAAATATTTTGTTTCATATCCTCCATGTGCAAAATTGTTAAAGGCTTAGCAACCTACATCAAGCAGCAACCATTCTCACAAAGAAAGAATTTCAATATTCTTGAAGCATAAGGATGAATTCCCTGTGATAATTTCCAGTCATTCCAACCTTAAAAAGTCTGATAACATTATCTGTACTAGAAATACAATAACCAAGTGACTATCACATGATTCACTGAGTTTACATCATACTGTGGACGTTACTTAAGATGCACATTGGCAGGATGTTATTGAGATCGTCTGTGTGTATGAAAGTGTGAAATATAAGTAGCATTTACACACAAGTATAAAGATACCTGCATATGATTTTCAAATGAGGAAGATGTGCTCTTAGTTATCACAGAATATAAATCTTAGTAGAGAGTACTTGTTTTTCTTGTTTTTTCAAATTTTTTTGGTTGCCAACTATAATGGGTGAATCGGATCACAGATGGTGGAACAATATTATAATAGTATTGTGACTGGTACTTGTAACTATCTATTACAGTAACTATATTTTACGTTTGAATAATGTACTCAGTCAGTGTCGTATGAATGTGTATTGGAGTTTTAACTGAAAAGCCACAGCCACAAATTTGTCTGCAATTATTTATGTTCTGATGCTAAGTGAGAGAGAGGAGAGTTTATAAGCTAATAGGTCACAGTCGTCAAAAGTATAGATATTAAAACTTAGCAGATAAGAGAAGCCATTTAGGTTACCATAGTTTCTGTGCATAAGTTCTGAGACAGCTTGTTGAATAATATAAAAACATATGCTGTTGTGTGATGTGGATATCTCTATAGTTATGTGTGTATGTAGTGTGCAAAAAATACGAACATTAAATAAAATAATTAATGAGTACTGTATTATACAAATGTATCAATTACATAGTGAAAGCTGCATTAAGGTAACAAATATATATAAATAAAGAATTTAATAAAAACGTTAACTACTACATTGATGACACACTCTTCAATCCCTGCAGAGACCAAATGTTTGAAAAATAGAATAATTTGTACAGTCGATCAGTTGACAAGTATATTTAAAGTTTATGCTTCTGAATAATACTGGTAAGAAATATCAACCTAAGGAACTCTCTCATTTCTCTATTGGTTATCAATCTCTATCACAAGACATTTTTCTTACATTATTTTCCTTAATATTGTTACGTCTCTGTATATTTGTTTGTTAATTCTTCTAAGATACAAGTCTTTTCTTTACAAAACTTGTTTATTCTTCCTCAATACAACTTTGTAATGCACTTAATTTTCACAGTTACACACACTATAGTTCACAACAATTCACCCACTTTCTATTGCGCTTAGACTTAATTGTCCATCCCCGCCACTATAGTTCCGATCTCTGTGTCTGCTATCCTCAGTTCCCGCCGACCATAACTGCTGTCTTTCTTTCTCTGTGTCTGCTATCCTCAGTTCCCGCCGTCCGTAACTGCTGTCTTTCTTTCTCTCTGCCTGCTTCGTCTCCGCTACGTCTCTGCCTCTGTCTGTCTCTCTCACTGTCTAGCGCACTTATATACGATAATACTGCCTGTTCTAAAAACATCAAAGACTCTCAACACGTGCTACCAGCGTCACTTGACTTCCGCTGTCGTAACAAACTAGCGAATCTTCTAGAATACTCGTCACGTGACCCCACTGTCGTAACACTGCCCCTTCCTTAGTATTGTTTTTCCCGAACAATAGCCACTTACATTAAACTAATAAACAATTAACAATAACTTAATTAAATGTACAGAATTTACAAACACAAAATTAAAATTCAACAAAGTCATTTAGTTTCTCGGGACGTATCTTCTTCCACTGCTTCATCAGGAAACGTCCTATCATTGGTAACAGTTCACATCAGTAATAGTAACTTCATCAAGGGCTTCACTGTTTCCCTTCTC